ATCATCTTTTCCAAAATGTAGAAAGTGTTAAAAAATAAACATTGAATGCCAGCTATTTTTTCCCAATAAAATAACAGGACTTTCAAAAAATATCAAACAAATAGTTCAAAAACATAGCAATTCAGCAGAGGATAAATGTCTTGGAATATGTTGACACAAATTGTCTATTTAGAATGCACTTTGGTCTAATTAGATGAGATGACTATGCCAAAAACATTTTGAAGTGGTTGAATGAAATGTTAATAAATGGTAGCATAATTATTGTGCAAATTGCTAAGCTAGATGCTCATTAATTATGAACATTCATGGGGAATACAGAATAGAGGCGTGGGTGAACTAGATGAATTAATCAAAGCCAATGAGTACAGTGGAGAACAGTTTGGGCTACTTCCTAGTTGCATGATTTCGGATGAGTTATTTCATGTCTCTCCTCAGTTTCCACATTTGTAAAGTGGAAATAATAATATCTACCTCATAGGGCTCTTATGACAATTAAAGGAGATGAATCATTTAAAGGCCATGACACAGTGCTGGGAGTAGACCCAGCAGGAACTCACCATTGTACAAAGTGAAATAACTGTGGACTCAGATTTAGAATTCATGTTTTCTTCACCCTTGTTTGATGTTATTTAGGAGGTAATACTAAATACATTGTCATTTGCAAAGTCTGCCCCCCTGACATTGGAACTTGGTGTAAATATGATTAATATGCTATTTAAAGGTCCACTAAATTTAGTTATTACTATAATCTCAGCCTAAACTTAATGGTGTCGAAACAAGAACTATCTAACCTCTAAATCAAAAAATAAATAAATAAAAATGTAAACATGCTACATGCAATCCTGTGGTTCAGTATTTGTCCTCCATACAGGGTCTCAATGTCCTTCTTAGCATCTGGTGGAGTAAAGCCAAGATGCTGGGTTTGATCCCATTTCGGTCTGTTAACTCTGCTTTAGTACATGTTTACCTAAGTCATTCTTGGCTTGCCAGCTTGCGAAGGCATGGTTTTGGAAAGGACAGTAGTTAAGTTATGGGGGTAAATTATAGTTAACAGGATAGGGGAAGGTATTCATTGTTAATGGTGGTAGGCTGATTCAATAATAGCAGATTCATTCATAGAAGACAGTACAAGGTGATGTGTTGATGTAGAAGCACGCATACTTTCAAAGACATGCTGAAAAAGTCAGAAATAGAAAAATGTTAATCTCAGTTTTCTATGTGGTCATATTTACCCCTCCAAAAAATGTGAAGTCAATATTCTAGTAATCTCAAAACCCATTCTAACTTCCTCTTTGTTCCAGTTATTTTAATTAGCTTTAGTTCTCCAGATGAGACTTCGTATTAGGCCTGTTTCATATTTCTGTAATCTTTCAGGAGGTCAGGACCCCAGTCTCCTGCTATGACCTTCATTATTCATTAGATAAGATTGAGATTCTCTTTGCACCTGGAGGGCAGTGACAAAACTTTGGGGTAATTTAGGATCTCTTCTAATCTTTCTGTCTGTTTGGATTAAGGAAGATTCCTGTGAATGCTCAATTTCTTTGATCTTTTATTCAAAGGTCCCACTTTGATAAGGTGGGCAGCAACATTGTAGCACCTTACTTTTTCCTTGGTCTTTTATTGAGCTGAATTTCCTGTATTTTGACCTTAGGAAGAAAAAAAGGCAATTCTTTAAGTGTAATGGGCTGTGGGATCTCTGAAATTTAGTTTAATATGATCTTCAATTCTAAAGGACAAAATAATATATCCATCTTTTGCTATGAACTGTGTGTAGAATATACTTGTATCATCTTCCCTTGCTTGCTGACTGCATGTTGGAATAAATCGCTGTGGTGTGATTTATGAAGCCCCCTCCTTCTCTCAGTCTCTTCCAGCCTATTTGAGTTTGCTATCCAAGCATCAGGCCTTTCCTGACAGATTATGATAGAACTGGTACTGGTAGTCACTCCCAGCAGGGTCTGTCTTTGATGCTTTATTAAGTGGATGATTTACTATTTCTTCCTTTGATTTACTAACTAGAGTATGAAATAAGAACCTTCGGTGGTAACAATATCCAAATGGTCACTTTCTTAAGAACGTGCTGGCCAGGCATGTTGGCTCATGTCTGTAATCCCAGCACTTTGGGAACTCGAAGCGGGCAGATCACCTAAGCTCAGGAGTTCGAGACCAGCTTGCCCAACATAGCGAAACCTCATCTACTAAAAATACAAAAAATTAGCCAGGCATGGTAGCAGGCACCTGTAATCCCAGCTACTCGGGAGGCTGAGGCAGGAGAATCTCTTGAAGCTAGGAGGAGGAGGTTGCAGTAAACCGAGATCATGCCACTGAACTATTGGCTGGGTGACAAGAGTGAAACTCCATCTTAAAAAAATAAAATTGCTTTAAACAAGTTAGTTTTCCGAATAGTGAGACTGCCATTAAGAGTATTTTCCCATCATCAAGAATATGGCCAGATTGGAAAGTGATTCTATAATAAAAAAAATAAATGCCTTTCAAAGAAAGTTGAAGCAGTTGGCTGGTGGGAAAAGTGGTTACCTTCTCCCTTCTCCCTTGTGTTTGTGTGTGTGTGTGTGTGTGTGTGTGTGTGTGTGTGTGTGTTTGCGCACACGCGCATGTAAACTTACAAATAATAAATGGACTTTTAGTTAAAAAAAACCACAAAACAATGATGACAACTTTAATTAGATCCTGGCAACCTTGAAAAAAGTGATTGATCAGTCTTATCAGCTTTTCTTTCTTCCTAATAATAATTTCTGAATACTAGAAAATAGAACGCCCAATGTTTATCACTACACATTGAAGGACACTTTAGGGAAGACTGGTATTTTGGACGTTGGGGCCTTGTTATGCTTGAAGCTTAACTGATGGAACATCAACATTCTTTGCTTTCTCTTGGTAAAATATTTGCTGTAAAGTGTAAATAAAGAAGGGGAGTATTTCTTCACATAGCTATGCTAAAACATCTGGCATCTGGGGCTGTGTTTATACCCTTTTGCACTGCAGGCAGTGCAGGAAGACTCCTTCAAAGCAGTCTGGATTTTTCTTTTACCTCCTTGAATGTCCAAAAAGTAACTTTTATGGTTTGTGTTTGTTTTTTTTATTTTTTTTTTAAGAAGACAATTTTTGTCCAAGCATATGGAGCATCTTAAATACTTTGGCCAAAAAACAAGTCACTAAAAAGGGAAGTTCTCCAATTTATCTTACAGCACACCTGTTATATCCTCAAGGGCTCTGTGTCACTCAAGGCTCCACCTACTTTCTCAAAATATAAGATCCAAAAATAACATAGTGCTTTTTGGAACATGATCTCACTTTAAAATGCATTTCCATCTTGCCTGTTCCAAACAATATGATTGCAAAGAATCAGACAATATGATATAGCAAATAAATAAAAGCCCAGAGAGGAAATTAGGTAGTAATTGAATGAAAATTGAACAGAAAATAAGGAGAGAGAAACAAAATGAAGCTTAATATACAGAAAGCATGCTGTAAGTTCATTACAGGTGAGCTACCAATTTAGCTCTGAATTTCCTAGCAAACAAAAAAGAAACACTAGATTAATCATACGAGTTTTGACATTAAGAAAGAAAAATAAGCCCTTGTTCAGGAGAAGTTATTTCTTTTCCTGATATAGAGAGCTATGAGAATATTTTTTGGTCTGTCTTTTTTATTACTATACTTTAACTTCTGGGGTACATGTGCAGAACATGCAGACTTGTTACATAGGTATACATGTGCTATGATTGTTGGCTGCACCCATCAACCCATCATCTACATTATACATTTCTCCTAATGCTACTCTCCCCTAGTCCCCAACCCCCAAAAGGCCCCAGTGTGTAATGTTCTCCTCCCTGTGTCCATGTTTTCATTGTTCAACTCCCACTTATGAGTGAGAACATGCAGTGTTTGGTTTTCCGTTCTTGTGTTAGTTTGCTGTGAATCATGGTTACCAGTTTTATCCCTGTCCCTGCAAAGGACATAAACTCATCCTTTTTTCATGGCTACATAGTATTCCATGGTATATATGTGTCACATTTTCTTTATCCAGTCTATCATTGATGGGTATTTGGGTTGGTTCCAAGACTTTGCTATGGTAAATCGTGCTGCAGTAAACATACATGTGCATGTGTCTTTATAGTAGAATGATTTATAATCCTTTGGGCATATACCCAGTAATGGGATTGCTGAGTCAAATGATATTTCTGGTTCTAGATCCTTGAGGAATCGCCACACTGTCTTCCACAGTGGTTGAACTAATTTACACTCCCACCAAGAGTGTAAAAGTGTTCCTATTTCTCCACATCCTGTCCTGCATCTGCTGTTTACTGGCTTTTTAGTGATCGCCTGTTCTAACTGATGTGAGATGGTATCTCAATGTGGTTTTGATTTGCATTTCTGTAATGACCAGTGATGATGAGTTTTTTTTTTTTTCCATATGTTTATTGCCTGCATAAATGTCTTCTTTTGAGAAGTGACTGTTCATATCCTTTGGCCACTTTTTGATGGTTTTCTTTATTTTTTTTTCTTGAAAATTTGTTTAAGTTCTTTGTAGATTCTGGATATTAGCCCTTCATCAGATGGATAGGTTGCAAAAATTTTCTCCCACTCTGTAGATTGCCTGTTCACTCTGATGATAGTTTCTTTTTCTGTGCAGAAGCTCTTTAGTTTAATTAGATTCCATTTGTCAATTTTGGCTTTTGTTGCCATGCTTTTGGTGTTTTAGTTATGAAGTCTTTGCTTATACCTATGTCCTGAATGGTATGGCCTAGGTTTTCTTCTAGGGTTTTTATGGTTTTAGGTCTTACATTTAAGTCTTTAATCCATCTTGACTTAATTTTTGTGTAAGGTGTAAGGAAGGGATTGTTTCAGCTTTCTGCATATGCCTAGCCAGTTTTCTCAACACCATTTATTAAATAGGGAAGTCTTTCCACATTGCTTGTTTTTGTCAGGTTTGTCAAAGACCAGATGGTTGTAGATGTGTGGCATTATTTCTGACACCTAAAACTATGGAGCACTTAATGAATTTGCTTGTCATCTTTGTGCAGGGGCCATGCTAATCTTCTCTGTATTGTTCCAATTTTGGTATATGTGCAGCTGAAGCAAGCACTTTGGTGTGTCTTTATAAAGAGAACATATTAATTTTGAGAAAAATATCTTTAATTTCACCCTTGTTCAGAATATAGTAAGGGCCTTCACAGGGCAGTTGCAGTGCTATTCCTAAACATAGATCCATTAAGTTCCTTCAAAGCAAAGTTCCAGGAAAGAATCCTAAAATGTCATTTGAGAACACAGATTATTGGTGGTCTCACTGAAACCAAGGTTACCTTTTAGTTATTGACTGCTTATCCTTAAGAGAAATTCTCCATAAATATTCATGTGTTTGTTTAACAAAGTAAAGCACTGGGTATGTGCCGAGCATTTTTTTAATGGTGCTGGGGATCTAGCAAAAAATAGGCAATTGCTTCATTTTCATGGAATTTAAATCCTAGGGAGGATGGGAGAAACAGATAATTAAAAAGTAAACAAGAAAATAATTTTAGAGAGTTACGATGAGAATATTAAGGAAAAACTCGAGTAGTAGTACAAACATCGACTGCTTTTGATAGGTTTAAGGCATTGACAGTTGAGCTGAAATGAACAAGAAGAAGGAGCCAGGCAGATACCTGGGAAACCCTGGCAATCCCAGTGAAGTGAACAGGAGATGCAAACATCAAGAAGTAGACTTGAGCTTAGCCGGTTGAAGGAGTTTGTGGTACTAGACTATACTGAACAATGGGGATGGAAACAGAAATGCCCCAAGCATGTATGGCTATAAATTCAGAGCCAAATTCGTAGCTCACCTATAATGAGCATACAGTGCAAACTGGCAAAGGGTTCACTTACCTTAAACACTTGAATTCCATTCTTTGGCCATTGTCATAGTACCATAAAAATAAGATAATTTTTGATATTGTATTATGTTAGAAAATGACCTTTGACTGACATGTTAGAAAATTAGCGTAATACATACAGACATCTATGATGTTCTGTGATTTTTGTTGATTGCTATTATAAAAATACTGCAACATTATTTTGGGAAAGATCATGGGTCGACAGGACCATGGTAGTCAAAGTCCAACAATAAACCTTCATATTGTGGAATTAGTGGATGACACTAAACATTCTAACATAAATCTTCACGGATCCTGTGTGTCTATTGGAAGGAAATGGTCAGGTTTTGAGGTGCTGAAATTCTCTCTGGTGCCAAGGAGCCCCTTAAGGCACTATACTAGAGAGAGATGAGTTATTAAATCACTCAAACTGTAAATCGTCTCTACAGGTCTTTAAATCTGAATGATTTACTCCCTTTCTTTGCAAGATTGAGAAATAATTACAAAAAAAAAAAAATCCAAGAATATAGCTTCTAACTAGAAAGACATCATCTCAGGTTTAAAAATATCTCTAATCCAATTAAGCAACAGTTTTCTGAGTTGCAGAAAATATAGAGCACAATGATGGTACTGGAAATGAAATGTAACAGAATGATGAAATCTATAAATCACAACTCTGGAAGTCTTAAGCAAGTCCTAATGTTTAAAGGCAGCATCCTTTGATATTCTACTAATTGCCATAAAGGGTATTTAGAAATGGAAGAATTTTCTAGGAAAAAATAATAAATGGACTTTTAGTTGAAAGTGACACCATCTTCTATGATTTGACAACATCTTGGAAACAGCTGCTGTAACATCTTTTTTTCATATTTGCTTAGTTAACATCATTGTGACATTAGTCTATGACTGCCAATAAATTTTCATTAAAAATATCTGCTTAATATGAGAAGGCTCCAGAAGGGAAGGTATTTAAATCTAGAATCTGAAACAAATCAATATATTATTTAATAATAATTTATAAAATATTATATTTTCTTATTTTAAATGCTATATAGGAAGATAATTGATAGGTAATTGGAAGGCAAACATTTTTTTGAATGACAAAATTACTCCTACTTTGTCAGACTATAATTTTCTATGAACTTAGAATTTGTTGTTCAGCTTAAGTAAATTTTATATCCATTTCCTTGTCATTTTATCATCTTTCCTTTGGTTCAGTTTAAAAGAAAGACCATAACTATATTTCCAAGGAATTCACAGCACTTTATAGATGAATACTGATAGTTTGGGACCTTTTCATCTTTAAGTTTTCTTTAGTTCTCTCTCCATCACAAATGGGTGAATTGACATGAATCTAGTCTTTCTACTTATCTTCTCTCTGCCCTGTGAATGTCATCAGGTTGTGTTAATTGAGAGGACTGGGTGTGAGGAACTAAAAAATATCTAGGCATTTCAAGTACAACTATGTACCAAATAACATTTTGGTCCACGATGAACTGCATATAATGATGGTGGTCCTCTAAGACTAAAATGGAGCTGAAAAATTCCTATTGCCTAGTGGCATCATAACCACAGTACAACGTATTACTCACATATTTTTGGTGATGCTAGTGTAAATGAAACTGCTGTGCTGCTAGTCACATAAAAATACAGCACATACAATTGTGTACAGTGCATAGTTGATAATGATAAATGATTAGTTACTGGTGTATGCAATTACTATATTATACTACACTGTACATTTTATTGTTATTTTTGAGTGAACTCCTTCTACTAATGAAACAAAAAGTTGGCTATAAAATAGCTTCAGGCAGATCCTTTAGGATGTATTCCAGAAGGAGGCATTGTTATGATAGGAGAGGATGGTTCCATATGTGTTTTTGCCCCTGAAGAGTTTCCAGTGGCACAAGACATGAAGGTAGAAGACAGTGATATTGATGATCCGTTGATGATCCTCACCCTGGGTAGGTCTAGGCTAATATATGTGTTCATGTCTTAGTTTTTAACAGAAAAGTTTAAAATATTTTAACAATAGAAAAAAGGTTATATAATAAGGATATAAAGAAAAAAATTTTATACAGCTGTATGATATGTCGGTGTTTTAAGTTAAGCATTATTACAAAAGGGTCAAAAATTAAAAAGTTTACAGAGTAAGAAAATCACAATAGCTAAGGTTAATTTGTTACTGAAGAAAGAAAAATATTTTTATAAGTGTAAAGTCTACAGCAGTGTACGGTTATATCCTAAGCCATCACATTCACCTGCAACTCATTCCCTGACTCACCCAGAGTAACTTCTAGTCTTGAAAGCTTCATTCATGGTATACACCTATACAGGGGTACCATTTTTTATCCTTTATACAATATTTTTATGGTGTCTTTTCTATGTTTATATACACAAATACTATTGTGTTCCAGTTGCACACAGCATTTGGTACAGTAACTTGCTGTGCAACAGGAGTCCTCAACCCTCAGGCTGCAGACTGGTATCAGTCCTGGCCTCCTAGGAACCAGACATACAGCAGGAGGTGAGTGGTAGTCCTATGAGCATTACTGCCTGAGCTCTACCTCCTGTCAGATCAGTGGTTGCATTAGATTCTCATAAAATAGCAAATCCTATTGTGAACTGTGCATGTGAGGGATCTAGGTTGAGCATTACTTATGAGAATCTAATGCCTGATGATCTGTGGTGAAACAGTTTCATCCCAAACCATCACTTCTCCCCATACATCAGTCCATGGAAAAATAATCTTCCACAAAATCAGTCCCTGGCGCCAAAACGTTTGGGGAACCATGATGTACAGGTTTGTAGCCTAGAAGTGACAGGCTGTATACCATATAGCCTAGGTATGTAGTAGGCTGTACCATGTAGGTTTGTGTAAGTACACTCTCTGATATTCATACAGCAATGAAATTACCTAATGATGCATTTTCTAGAATGTATTCTTATCATCGACAATATACAGCTCTACCTTCTGGAGCAGGTAAATTATGTCATTAGTTGGAAAAAAGATTAGTTGCTCTACAAGCAGAGTCCTACAAGCCCATTCAAATTAGTCAGAATTTTCCACGTTAAAATAATCCTATCCTCATTTTTAAAGATCTACCCTATCCCATCATTGTCAAACTAAAAATGATTTGCTTTGTCCGTGCTAGGTACGCACACTTCTAGAACGTTCAGACATCGAATCTCTTGTCCCTACTGCAGAAAGTTAAGTAGAGATGTGGAAGTTTCTTCAGTTCCTAGCACCAGTGGAGGCAATGGTCCTGAATTACTATATTAAGCTTCACAAACAAATGTTCACTTCACTTAAAAGCTGTCAAAGCTGTCTAGACCTCACCAGATAGTGACACATTAAGATGAAGATAAAACAGCATAATTTGCTACAAATTCCTCTAAAAGCATAAATCATCACGTTCTCCATATCATTAGGAAACAAAACTGAGCAAGTTTAAAAAATTTGTTGTATGCAGGGGATTTGTTACCTCCAAAAAGAAAGGGGCGCTTCCCTAGAAGAATGCTTTCTAGATAAAATGACCTCCCAGCAAGAGCTAACATGTCAGCAACCTCTTCCTCTGTGCAGGGAACCCTGCTGAGTTTCTTGTGTGCATTATTTTATTCTCTCATCACAGAATTCTTGTGGACTATTTATTTTTACTACTATTTCACAGCACCAAGGTTTAGAAATGTGTAGATTTGACCAGGTTTATACAGCTAGTAGAGTACTTGATTTTAAATATTGGTGCCTGCCTCCTTAACATCTTTATGTAGTGTGAGCAGCTTAGCACAGAAACATCCAGGAATCAGGTTTGATGAGCTGAGAGATACAATATCAGGTAAATACAAAATGAAGCTGTTTTCTGAAATGAATATGGCTGGTTCTGGAGATAATTTTGTCAATGAAAGCCTGTATCCTGCTAATTATTTAGAAAGAAAAATCAAAACTGATGCCAAAAAAATAATAAATAATTATGTCTATTTTAAAAATACTCTGAGATACATCCATAAATAATTTAGTGTGTTTCTAAATTAATCAAAGTGATTCACCTCCATTTATTTCTACATGATGTCTTTTCCTCCTTAAAATCCTAAAGTGCTATGGGAGCAGGGGAACAGGAAATATGAATGTGGAACTTTGCATAGAATATAATAAAAATCGTTTAAGGTAGAAAACTTAAATTTTTTAAGTAATGTATTTGTGATAAATTATGAAAAAAGCTGAAAAGAATCTGGCCAT